ACACCGCCCGGCCTGCCGGAGCGCCCACAGCGGCCGCTGCTGCTCTTACACGGAGCGCGTCATCTCCCAGCATTGGCTAAGCATATCAAACCTCATACAAATGGGCCTAAGTTGCGTGCAGGGTTACCATCGCCGCTTCCTGCAAAGCCGTTTCACCTTCGTGCTCTGCGGCAGCTGATTTGCGGGCACTGCGTTGCGCAGCCACAATTCCCAGAGAAGCGTGGCCCCTGTGGTCAGGGCGTGTGTGATCGGCCTTGCAAAAACTTGGCCCAGATTCAATCCTTCAAAGTAAATATTGCTGTTACTCTGCCCAGGCCCATAGTAATATCCATTGAATAATACAGAAAAGTGATACTATATATGCAGTGCTAGACCAAGAAGATGTCAAGAACAGAAACTACTGTTTATTTAGAAAGCATTAAGATTAAAAAAAAAAAAACAAAACAGTGAAGTTTTCATAGCATTCCCATGTTTTGATATGTGGATATGTCACTAGATACAGAGATACTATATGAGCCTTTGCATTCCTGGATGCCATTTCTTAAAACTGTTTGATTTTAAAGAATTTGGGTGGGAAAATTATTGCTCAGTGATTCACTTGAGTTTTTTGTCTAATTAATTACAGGTTACTCCTCCCTGCTAAGGGAAAACCCACATTATAAAATGCCACAATTGCTGCTGTCAAACATAGTAATCATATGCTAAGCTAGGCTAGGAAACCAGTATAAAATAGGATGTGTAAAGGGACCCTGTAATTTACTATGGTATAGTTCATTTACATTATTTTTAAAAAGGAAAACTGCATTTCAGACAATTGCTTGGCTGACCTAATGCTTCTTGGGGGGATTCTTTGTCAGCATGTAACAATTCCAGCTCCAAGGAAATGTCCAGATATGAATTTTTTCTCTCAAAATTTTTAGATATGTCTGAAGACATTGCCTATTCTTCTGTATGCACAGATCATTCAAGTAAACAAAGACCTTTTAGTAAATATGAATGCATTTGTTGTTCCCAGTCTGTTCCCTGACATGTTTTTCAAGAAGCTTCTGCATTTACTGTGCAGTGCAGCTCTTCCTGAGCGCAGTCAGCCCAGCTACAGCTTGCTCTGAAAGTGAAAGCAGAGATGGCTGCAGAAAGGCATTGCATAACTGTTCTCTTACTTATTCTAATTTAAGCACTTTCCTGCATTTACTTTATTTAGTAGGCATTTGTGTCAAACCATAGCATATAGATGCAACTAAATTAGTAAAAAATAAGGAAGCTAGGGCAAAGTTCTGCATTTCAGAAGGAAGATGCCTGCATTTTCCCTATGTACCAAGCAGTGTGGCAAGGAAAACAGATGCCTGGGGCAGAAGCAGAGACAAGGAACCCGTAGATGCTTTCCAACATAGTAAATCATTAGTGTCTGCATTTAATTTAGTCATTGCAGTAACCTTTCAAACACTTCTACTGTAACTACCTACAATCTTTCTTTTCCATAAAATACATGGATTTGTGTAGATACCCGAATCCTTTTCCTTCTCAGTCCACTGCCTCTTTTCATCACCTCTCAAATACCTGGTTGCTAGAATCTTGACTACTCCTCAGAGTAGTAGCTGTACTAACCTTTATTCTGAGCTCTGAGACATCAGCTCCAGCAATCCCTCCACACTCAAACACACAAGAAAACAAACAGACACTTAAATGAGACACAGTGGGTGTGGGTGTGTGTCTGTGTGTTACTAAGGCTCTCCAAATTCTTGTAGAAACTGGAAGTTCTAATATGTAAGACTTGGGTTGTGTTGGGGTTTTTTTAAAGGAAGGAAACAGTGGAAGAGGGAAAGGAGGGAAAAGAAGGGAAGGAAAAAAGGGAAAAGAACAGTTACCAGGTACTAACATTTTTGCCATCATGCAGATGGTTGTGGTTTCTTCTTCCTCTCACCAGATCCAGACTGAGTAATTTTTATGTTTGCTAACACACTTTTACACATCTTTTTTTTTTTGTTCCCCTGGTCTGCAGCATCAGGTTACATCTGAATTTACTATATATAGTGCCATTTATGTATGTTGCAGTCTATTTTTTGGTTCTCTGTCACCCCCAAAGCAAATTTTACAGACAATGGTCTGCATTTTTTATTTTTCTAAACTAAGCATCAGTGAGTTGTTGGTAGATGCTCCAGTCCCCAGGCCATTCCCATCTCTGTTGCCATGTGTGCAGCCTGTAGCAAGGCATTGCTCTTGCCAGCATCAGGCTGTAAGCTTTGCACCGGCTTTGCATGGCCTCAGGACCAAGGCTTGCCAGGTCTGCTCAGTTTGACCTTGTCCTGACCTGCCTGCAGCTTTGTTTTGGTTAGCACAACTGTGACAGCAGTTTCTCAAAGTGACTGCCTCTCTCTCTGATTTGCGAAAGGATAGTCGTGGGTTTATGTGGAGAGCTGTGTCACTTTATTTGGGAATGGCTAGAAGAAAGACACAGAATCTTTTGTGTGTTGAACAGGAGAGCAAAGCTGATTATTCTTAATCTTTTTTATAGACATGTTCGAGAAGGTCGGAGAGGTAAAACTCTCATTGGTGATTAAAGCAACACATTTGCTATCAGTGGTTACGTGTAACATCATCTTTTGACTGTTTTCATAAACATCACTTGCAAAGATTGTTGTCGTTTACCAAGGACTGTTTGGATTCTTTCTCATGTTTTCTCAGGCCAGAATGAGAAGCCTGTGGCTTAGTTTCTGTTCTCTTCTTTTTGCATTGAATATCTGCAGAGCAGCAAGAAACATTTCCTGTAGATGGGATATTTAGTACTCTTAGACAATGGCATAGTGCAGAAAAGCACAGGGCTGGTACAGCAGCAGAGACCTCGTGGTGTGGAGGCACAGGATGAAAGAGTGCAGAGAGGGGAGATAAAGGCTTGTGTGTGTGTGTTATGTGGGTGACACAACACCAATAAAACAGGAGCCTACAGCATGGAGCAGAGTTGTGCACAAATGCATCAGCAGAGGCACGAGGGGCAAATGACCCTTCCCTAGCCTATGCATGATAACCAGGTCAGCCCACAGCAGCCTGAAATATTCTTGTTATCATGGGTGTCTCTGCCTTTGAACATAGTAAACGCTGGGAGCATTAGGAGCTGTTCCCACATTCTCCACAACACAAAGTAATGCATGGCACAGAGCCAAGCTGAAAAAGAGCAACTGAGTGACTCAACAGTTTCAATTCTTCAGCGGCAGACTGACTATCTGCTAAGGCAAGCCCAGAGAAAAGCTATGTTTCAGTTTCTGTTTTCCGGTAATTTCATCACAGACCATGTGAGGGCTGGACCAAATAAAATGGAAGGCATAACAACAGTGGGCAGCATTCCTTTGGCTTTGAGGCTGAAGACAAGCAAGCAGAGAAGGAAAACCATGAGGTAAGAAAGCAATCCAGCCTCTGAAAGATGCTTTTTTTTCTCTATGTTACAGGAAAATAATGTTTATTATCTACATAAATGTAAATAGTGAAGGACTTTGAGCATCCAAACAACAAAAAATAATTTACAGAATATTTAGAGACGAATCAAAATAAAATAAAGATGCTCTTGAATATTGTCATGTTATTGCTTCTCCAATGAGGTTCAGTCTTTGTGAGTAGGACAGAAAGTCAGAAAAATTTTGTGCATGTAGTGTGAGGATGAAATGCAGGCTGCAGCAGGTACAGCTGGTGCCCAGCCAAAGGGGTGTAATCTGTCTCTCAAATTTGTTTTTGTGATATTCCTCCTTGATTTTCCTCCTCATAATTTTGCAAATTTTCCACTCAGTCCTTTTTTTACCTGAAAGGCTTGATTGTGCAGTTGAGCAGCAGCACATGCTGTGCCTCACAGGCTGTTAGACCTGTTATAGGGGGGTTATAGGAGGGACAGCAAGGAAGTCTTCTTAAGAAGGGAGGGTATGACTGAGAAGTCTCAGTAATAGAATTGTGTGTCATTCCTTCTTTAATTAAGGGAAAGCACAGTGTGGACTAAAATGTCATCTCTGTGTTGTAAAAGTGTCCCCTTGATTTTGTGACAAAGGCTGGTCTGTGCTCCCACAGAGGGACACAGGTGGGCAATGGCAGCAGGGGAAACCCAGATAACACCCTGCCTTGGTGGCTCCCAGGCCCCATTTGGGAAGAAAAAGCTGTTGAAAGATGGAGAGGAATTGTTCTGATTTCAACCGGTATAGAGTTAATTTCTTCGTAGGAGCTGGTACAGTGTTTTGGATTCATTATGCCAATTATGTGGATAACACACTCACATTTTTTTTGTAGTTGTGTTTATCCTAATGTCCTGGAGTGACTTTATGATACTGGTATCCCCAGTCGCCTGGTTTATGTTATATATTAAGTTCTGCACCTTTAAGACTGGCTCTGAGAGTGAAGGGGAAGAAGAAGCAGGCAGTTTGTGTTAAAGAAAAGCATCACTTCTCACCATCCCGCTCCTGGACTGTGGTGTCTGCAGCACGGACAGACAGCGGAACAGAGCTTCTTTTATGGTTAGTTAGTTTTAGCTAGCTGAGGCAGAGGAGTTCCCTGGACTTTTTTTCCTTTTTCCTCTTTCCTAAACTAGGACACCTAGTCACTTAGATACCTAGACACTTTTTTGTGTCTCATGCTCTGCTGGTGAGGACGTGCACAAAAAAGCTGGAGAGAGCATAGCTGGGACAGGTGATCTGAACTGGCCAAAGGGACATTCCACACCAGAGAACATCATGCCCAGTGTATAAACAGAGGAAGTTACCTGGAAAGGGGCTGATTGGGGTGCAGGGACAGAGTCTGACATTAGGCAGCAGGTAGTGAGCAATTTTACCATGCACCACTTGTTTTCCTTTGAGGCTTATTTTTTTATCTTTTATCATCATTATTAATATTTACTATTATTATAGTTTATTTTGTTTCAGTTATTAAAAAATATTAAATTCTGATCTTAACCTACAATTTTTACTTTGGATTCTCCTCCTTGCTTCACCAGTGGGGGATGGGGAGACGAGTGAGCAGCAGCATCATGCTTAGCTGCCAGCTGGGCTTAAACCACACCAGGGATAAAGGGGTATTAAGGACCAGTTTTATGTCGCCAAGGTCTGGTTAATAAGGGTGTGTGAGTGTGTGTGTCTAGGGGTGAGGCACCTGGGGAGAGAGAGAAGCTCCCTAACCAGGCACTGGATGTCCAGAGCCAGCATCTGAGGAGCTGTCACAGGGATAGTGAGTGTGTGGTTTGTACCAGTAAGTGGAATGGGGTCGCACACTCGTGGGCTGTACATCCAGCTGCCAGCAACTGGAGAGGCTGGTGAGATCTGGGACCCAACTCCTGCATACATTAACCATATAATCAGTATAACCATTATCTAAGAATGGTGCTATGATTTAACATACAGGTATCTAAAAACACAGGAAGTTCAAAATTCAATTTATAATACAAACCATAACATGTACACAGGTTTAGGAAATGGACTAAATCACATTCTTTATAGTTTAAGGGAATCTCAAGTGATTACATCTTCTGGGTAGACTCCAGCAATTGTTCCCAGCACAGGAAATATGTTCCTGAGGCCCAGGGTGTGCCAGCTTTACTGCAGAGACCAGTCCTCCACTTTAACATCCACAGAAACATCTGTTCCTATGTAAGAGGTGCCCTCATACACAGGCAAGAAGAATTACTAAAATCACTATTCGGCACTTTAGACCTAGGGGGCTCCCTACACCTTTGGCAATTAAGAAGTATTGTGGACTAAGGGTGCCAAGTCAGGTATTGGCTGTCTTTAAAGTACATCATGCCTGGTTTAAAAATAAGAATAGCAAAAAGAAAATGGTGTATAAACAACTTTTTCTTTGATTTCTTCTAGTACCATTTCCAAGGATTCCTTGAAGACTTCCCTGCTGAAGTTAGAATGCCATTTTACATGGACTTTGCTGGAGAAGCATGTAAGTCTTGAGGCCCTAGAGGAAACAATACTCGATCATATCAAGTTTGTCGTAGAATACAACATTAGAGATTATAATATACTATCCTATGTATGCCACCTAAAGAATTCAGATGAGGAAGCCCTAAGAAATCTCAAAAAAGCTGAAGAAGTTATTCAAAAATGTCATCCAGGTGAAATTGCCAGGAAGAGTCTTGTTACCTGGGGGAACTATGCCTGGATCTATTACCACATGCAGAGATATGAAGAAGCTCAAACTTATATAAGCAAAGTGGAAAACAGCTGCAAAGAGCTTTCAATTACTTCTCATGGAAAGATTCAGCTTCCAGAGATCTACGCTGAAAAAGGATGGGCATTATTACGTTTTGGGAGGAATTACTTTGAGAGGGCAAAGAATTGCTTTGAAAATGCTCTGAAGAGCGAGCCTGATAATCCAGATGTTAATGCTGGCTATGCAATAGCAATGTATCGCTTGGAGGACTGTGCTAAGAAGTATGGTGAAGAGGTGAGGCCGTGCCTTGAGGCCCTGCAGCGAGCAGTGGAACTGAATCCAAACGACACTACCATTATGGGGCTACTTGCATTAGAACTTCAGCGATTACAAAGAGTTAATGAAGGAGAGAGGTACATTGAAGAAGGACTGCAGAAAACCCCTGACTTTCCTGTTTTCCTGCGATATGCTGCTAATTTTTACAGAAAGAAAGGAAAAGTGGACAAGGCAGTGGAGATCTTGCAGAAGGCCCTAGTACTGACACCAAACGCTGTCGTTCTGCATCACCAACTAGGACTCTGCTACAGAACCAAGGCACTTCAATTGAAAAATACAAGATACACACCTCAAGAGGAAGTGGAGAATCTCATCGAGCTTGCCATTTTTCATTTTAAAATAGTCATAGACAAGAAGCCAGTATTTTTTTGTGCCCATTGTGACCTTGCAAACGCATACGCACTAGCCAAGAGGTATGAAGAAGCAGAAGAGGTATTTCAGGGAGTGCTTCAGAGAAATGATATACCCTGTGATGACAAACAAGTTATCTACTTCAATTATGGCAATTTTCAGCATTTTCACATGAAATCAGAATCGAAAGCCATTAAGTGTTACATAGAAGGTCTGAAAATGGAAAAAGATTCCTATGGAAGAAAAAAGTGCAGTGAAGCTGTGAAGACATTGTTGAAAGAGAAAATTAAGAGAGGTTTAAGAGCCACAGATATTGGTACACTTGGACTTGTTCATAACCTAAATGGTAAGAAACAAGAAGCAATTCAATGCTATCAGAAAGCCATTGCTTTGGAGCCAAACAATGAAGAATATCTGAATGCATTAGCTGAGCTACAACTTTCCATCTCAAGCTAAAGCTCACAAAAATCCTATGTACCAAAATATCCCCCAAACCAAGGACCTTTCAACGCTCTCAAAACTTTTTTTTTGCTGTTTTTCATTTGAAGGTAGACATTATGACCAGATGGAACTCGGGTGGCATCTGTTTCTGGTCATAATATAGAAACTGCAGACGATTGTTCATTTGTTCATTCACTAATAGAGAGCATGCTTGGATAACTACATAATATATATTTATAGCTAATATAACTTAGTCTTCAATGCTAACATGGGTATAAATGTTACATTTAAGTGATGGTCTGTAGAACACAGAACTACACTGAAATCAGATATTACCTTTTACTGAGAAAAAGATAAGGGAATCATATTGTAGTATTTTGTCTGTACACTTGAAGGGCATGCTTATACACAAATAAAAATTCTGAAGCTTTTTTAAGCATTTCAAAAATATGTTTTGTAGAAGAAACTTTTGTTGAAGGCTTGTTCAGTTTACTACTTTGTATGCTGTTTAATTATGAAATAAAAACATAATTTTGTTAGTCCACTTGAAAGCTAACAAAATGCATATTATTGTTGTGAATTACTAAAGTCTGCTGGATCCATCAGCTGCTGCTTCTGGGTATCTCTCTGATGACCAGCCTTCATGTTAGTAGATTAAGACAAACAGCCATCAAAAAAGTAAGAAGGACAGTTTTGGTAGGATACAAAAGGCTGAGGAGACAGCCCCATTTATTTTCCCTGAGGTCTCAGCAAAGCTGGCTCCAGGGGCATTGCATCAAAGAATGAAACTGTGCACAAAACAGCATCTGTCTTGTTTTCCCAAAACACCCAGCAGGAACCACTACAGCAAACGTCTTGTAGCAGCGCGGGCGGATGGTAAATGCTGCTGCCTTCCCAAAGGCGTCTCCAGGTGAAGGCGTTCGGGCAGGCACACAACAAACACAATCCACACACAGGACATGGACAGCTTGTCAGCAAACAGAGCAGGAAGGGTCTTTGTATGGAGTTCCAACAGGGTTTATTACAGCCACACATCAAAGGGGTCCAGGCACAAAGACAAGTGACAAGGGCAGGTCCAGGATTATATAGAGGAAAGGGGGGGCAGATCAAAGGGTCAGGGTCCAATAGGAACAGGGGAAAATGGTGCAGAGGTGGGGTAATAAAACAAGGGAATCGATAGGATAGCAGGGGTGGACCACTGCACTAAAGAATGGGGAAACAGGGGTGGAAGGACATTCTAGGGAGCATACATATAAGGTAAAAGGGGGGCTGAACTGGGTGACACTAACTTGGTAAAAGCAATGGGGGAATAAACATTAAAATATGGCTGCAGAGGTCTATGGGAGTGAGGTGTCTCCCACCCCAACCTCGGGACGCATTACTCATGGTGTCCTTTCCATGGCTGAGGGATGGAGCTTTTGGTCATAGGCCCTTGGGGCTCCACAACATTTGGAGGGGAAGGAGAGGCAGACTTTGAGATGCCAAAGAGGTGGCTTTGGCCATGCTTATTAAACAAGCAAGGGATAGCAAACACACACAAGAAATTACCTGAACTGGACATGGAGGGCAGAGCACAGGCAGAACAGAGTTGGGTGAGCAGCACAGAGCAGGGCAGAGGAACATAAGGGGTGTGTGGGAAAAGGGGTGGGTGCCCATAGGGTCTACATGAATGGAAGAAAGGACTGAAATGACAGAATGGGTTGGCAAGGTGATTGTCTTCATATAACCAAGTAAAATTCAATATTCTTTGGAATATCCTGGCTTAATTGCTCAGTAGTGTACCTTTGTTTGATAGACCATAGTACTCAGGGAAAACTAATGCTCTACTTCCTAAACACTTCTGAGCCTTAGCCACTAGTACAGCATGAAGGAAACTGGTGACAGAGCCCATCAGGAAGGATGTGCCCTTTAGTTTCTAGCCATCTTGGAGCATTCCCACACCTGCAACAGCACCCCTCTACGGACAGGATGACAAGCCATGAAGGAGAGCAAAACACCAATGCCAAACCACAAAATATCAATAAACTTCTTCCCTCTTAGTTCTCCTTCAAAGAATCTTTCTTAACACAAGCAAAAGTAATCAACTGTACATAATTACAAACACCCTCTTCCTAAAAAAGAACTGGAGCAAAATTCACCTTTGTTTCCCTGTCAGTTTCTCTGGTACACACAAAGGCAACCTACCTAGGGAAGGAGAGGTGAGGAGGGAGAACAGGAAGGACTGGGAACAGTTCTGACAGACCTAAAAGCTGGAACAGCAGTGGGGCAAAGTCAGGAACTGGTGACACAACATTGGTGTGCCCAGCTATGGGGGAAAAAGGGTCTGTTAGACAACCTCACTGCCTTTGTGAATCTTGAGGCCTTCTAAGCTCAGCATCATTGTTATTTAAACTCTACTGAGGGCATAGATGGGGGAGGGCAACAGGGAAGAATTTGAGGAAGAGGTGGTGCAGATTCACAAAGCTGTGGTACATCCATTCCCCCCTCTACACTGCAACCAGGACATCTCCTGAAAAATCAACCTTCAAGAAATAAGGATAAGCTATAAATTATTTGGGAAAAAAAAAAAAAAGTGAGCCTGAATTTTTATGAAGAGTCATAGCAGCTCGATCTGCACAGTGAAGAAACTGACTGCAAGACACAGTAATGCAAAAAGTCTATTTGTTGTGCCTCACCTCCTTTGTACTCTGGAGGACTGCTCTGGACCACAGTACTACCTGGGGATGCTCTGTGCAAACACAGCCTTCTGGATTTTGCCTGTCTTGTAAATGAGGAAAAACGTTACTTCCCACAGGGTGGTGCTGCTGCATTGCCTGGCGTGCCGACATGGGGAGCAGGTTGAGCTCGAGCTTTGGAGGTAGACTAAATGAAACACACATTTTGGAGAGTCCACATCCATTGGGCAAAACTAGAACTGCAGAGAGGCTGAACACACCTCTCAATTCACACCCAAGTATGAATACATCACTGAAGCTGATGCTAGCAGTGTAGAGGGAAAAATGAATGAAGATGACCCTTCAGGAAGTACCAATTCATGACTCAAAAGCACCTTCTAAAGTATATAGAAATTTTTTTCTGAAATACACCAGAATAATCACTAAGAAGAATGTGTTATTTATTTATTTATTATTTATTTATTTATTCCCCACTAAGGACTTTGCTATGCTGACCATGAAGTAGTGTTAGTTTAACAAGCTCTTCCTTCTCACATAAATTTGTAACACTTTAGAAAGCAAACAAGGCATTGTTGTGCAATATAAAATACATTCACCATATAGTAACACAGCCTTTGTCTTTTAGGAGGTAAATTATTATCCAAGCTGACAGGAATGTTTCAGGAATGCTTTTTCTGAAAAAACAGTAATTTTTCAGCAGAAGGTACTTGATTCTCCAATGTTGTTTTCACACAGCTTTCCAAGGTACAATTTATTAAATGTATCCAGATTATCATTAGGATATAAATTATTTCAAAATAATTATTATTTTCCCATTTCAAACCTCATGGAATGGAGACAGATGGGATAACTTCAGCAGCTGCAAGCAGTTTCACTTAGTTACACTGAATTTCCATCCACTGCACAGAACAGAGCATAATAATAAGAGCAGGTAGGATCCATCTGAGGTAGAATCTGTGTCGGACAGATGTTACCCCAAGTCAAGTCCCACCACACTGTCCTGGGAAGCCAGACAGGATCAGCAGTGCAATGCTCCAGCTGAGCACATACCCATCAATGCATGTGCCCATCAGGGCTGGTGGGAACATAGAATTACAAGATCATTAAGTGTGGAAAGGACCCCTAAATCCTCAAACATGTAGTGTTCATCTGGAAAACTGTTCACAGCTAGCTCAGCTATCTTGGTTGCCAATACAGTAAATCATTCTTTAAAACTATTGTAACCTAGAGATTCTATAATGCATTGCTTGGAATATTTCACATTGCTGGATGAAGATGACCTGTTGAGCCTGGGTTGTGTGGAGCAGGAGGTAGAAGTTTGACATGAGGCTTCACCAGCCTGGATTGTATTGCCATTTCTTCCACTTGCAGGTCATTTCCTGCTACACTTCCTTCATTCTGTTTCTTACTGGGGACATTCATGACAGGGCTGATATTTCACAGTGTGTTTTAAGCACAAAAGTCTTTATTCCAGTATATGAGCTTTTTTCCATTGATTTAAGTCAGAGCAGAAATAGTGTTGGAAAACCCTGAAAGAATTTTGCCATTTTCTACGAAAGGTCTGTGAATAAAACCAGTTGAATGTTTGCTGCTAACTAAGATATTTAAACCAAGAAGTACTGCTTAAAAAACAAAAAGGGAAAAGCCTATGAGAAAATAAAATCTTGAAATAATAAAAAATGCTAATAATGTATTACACACTATAATTTACTATGATAAAAATGCACATAGCATTATCCCAACAGGCTTTTACAATATGCAGCTCTGACATGAACAACAGGTGACATGTTGTGATGTGATAAACAAAGTTATTAAATTTTTGTAAATTTATTTACAGTGGTAATTTATAACATGTTAAAAATAAATTATGTTTTTTGTTGACCACACTATTCCCTACTTTTTTTGATGTTAAAATATTGTATAAAGTTCTAAAAAATTATCTTCATCAGTACTAATAAAACCAATTAATTTTTTTCCCAAATGTGCATATTTTTCCTAACTCATTAAGAAACACCCATGGATAATTTTTATCTTTTTTATGAATATATGTTAAAAACTAAACTGGGGCCCAAGACTCCATTTTCATGCTGAGCTGAAGAAAAGTTATGTCATTGGCTTTAAGTAGATTTTGCACTGCTCGCATTTATTCTATGGTCTGTGCACATAGATCATGCTACTGGCTCTGACTACATTCCTGAAGCAGAACAGTGAAAAACGCTTCATTTAAACACAAACAATTTTAATATGTTATATTTGAATATATTGTATCAAATATAAGTGTTATATTATACACTTGGATAATAAAACTACTTGATACACGTTATTCATATATATGCGTGTGTGTGTATATATATAAATACATTATACTCCTATGGCTGTACTCTTGGTCTAAATCAAATTGGTGAACATCAGTCTATGTTGCTTTCACTTACAATGCACAGAGTGGAAAAGACACACAAAATGAGCAGCCATTCAACACACTGCAGACTAAAAAAACTACTAGTTCAGTGTAAATGAACATTATTTGGACTCAGATCAATTTGTTAATGAACAGAATACAGCTTGATGTGGCATCAATACACTGAAACTATTTGTATTGTGGAATGTGAAGTTTTCCATTGCTGCTGATGTTTTCACTCTGGAAATGTAGAGAATCCCAGTATTTATTAGACCATCACATCAGTAAGTTACTCCAGGAGCTACATTCACTCCCTAGCTCCTGTGGAGCAGCCAACTGGAGTATTTTCCTCACACAAGTACCAGCAAACTGTCAGCAAGTCACTGCCAGCTCTTGTGTTCTGGCCATCAAGGAAAAGTGACCTGAGAACTCTTCAGATGGTACAAATGAGCAATTGGCACCACATGAAGATGCAGCTTCTGGGTCTGAAAAGAGACAGATTTGCCACTGCAATACACAGAAACAATTCTGCCAACATCCTCTCCACTGTCAGCCTGTGGGGTGGGCAATCTCTCAGCCATCTGGTTGCATGGATTCTAAAGTTCTCTAATAGATGCTGATTTTACAAGAGGAAGAGGCTCTGTGTTTGAAAACACAGGAGCCTCTCTGGTCTCTTGGGTTGCCTTTGGGCTTCTTCCAACTAATGCAGTTAAAGCACATTTATCTATCAGCATGCCTGGTCCCATGGCACAAATTCACTCCTCTTCATAGATAGCAGAGCCACCACAGCACATTTTCCACTCTCTAAGACAAGGATCAGCTGAAAGATCATACCCAGAATGTCAATGTTTAGAAATTCAAAAGTAAAGTATTTTAAAAGTATCCAAAAGAAAAAAGTAAAAAAGTAAAATTTGCTAGAGAGCACGTGGGAAAGCACGCTTCAAATATTTGAAGTTAAATTGCAATGTATGTACAAAGTTCAGGCACATTGTAAAAATTAAAGCTGCTCCAGAGACACTTTCAGCATAAATCAGTTTCCTGCCAGATTTTCTTAAAAAAACCAAAACAACAAAAGCAAAACGAACAGATGACTTTGGCATTTGAAAAATTCATTTGCAAAGAGTTTCATGCAGATTGATAAATGTGGAGATTTTTTCGTGGTGTGTGTGATTAGTCCATTGAAACATACTAGACCACAAAACGAAAAATCTTGTGTCATTAATGATATTTTTAAATGTAAATGTTATTGGTCAGTTTTGGTGACTGATACCTGTGGAACCAACATTGCATTTCAAATAAATCTGTGAATGCTTGTATCTACAAACTCTATTTTCAGTCTAGCTTTTTTCTATTACTGCATTAACTTGGTATTACTGTTGCTGTATGTAGATTTAAGCCAACTAAAACAGGACAGAAAAATCTAACTGAGAGATGTCTTGCTTCACAGGAGAAGTATCTTCAACAATGTAACCACCACAGAGCCACATCTGCCTCGGGCTGTGCCATACTGAATCTCAACAGCACTTGTCACCTGTTGCTGAAGCTGTTTGTATCCACAGCCAAAAATTCACCATCCCTTTGGTCTAATTCTGCTGTGACAGAATAAGCTATTGCTCCATTTGTCCAGATGTGCTGTTTCAAGCCCATGTTGCCCGTGAGGGGCCGCAAATGTGTTCTTTTGATTTTCTTTGCTAGTCTTGCAAAGCACAATAGTGCTGAACTAAATATCATAGAAAATCCACACAGGAGGAATGATGCAGTATAGCTGCCAGTTGTGTCCACAAGCCAACCTGTAAGAAAAAAAATTAATTTTTTTTAAAGGTCTACCAGTATTCTGGCAGATAATTTACAAATCCTGTGATCCAGTTATAAACTTCTGGAGATATCACATATAAATGCAATCAAACAATACAGGTTTACATCACCATCACTATACTTTTACATCCTGGGGCAGAGAGGGATTTATTCTCAGCAGGCAAATAATATTTTTATGGCCTTTTGTTTGGAGCTCAAATCCAGAAGAAAAGGCTGAGCCACACTACTAAATAAACATCTTCCAACTGCACGGATTTAACTGACAGTCTTTAGAAGGCCTAGAGACCTCTAAGATCTTCATGCAGAAATATTTATTAATATTATAATTATATTAATTATGCCCAGGTTCATGCTTCGCTTAATTCTATTTTGCAGTAATTGTTGCTATGGAAAATTAAATTAAAAGCTTCAGGAGCAGTGATTAATTTGGAATTGATGAAAACATCAGACAAAATATTCAAGATAAATATACTTGATTGTTTGAAAAATATCTCAGACCTTCCACAATATTAAAAAGTGTGTCAAGGGCTTTCTAAGGGATAATAAGGGTAGAGGGCTCATCCTTACTTCACTGTAATGGTACGGATGGGAAAAATGATGGTTAGATATTACAGGGATGATCTAGTGACCAAACAGGAGTGGAGATGACTCACACACCTGTTCAAAGCAACGTAGAGACTAAAAGATCAAGTCTCATAGACACACACAAACGAACAACTTGGAATTAAACTCTCTTAGAGAAATTTAGATTTTACAAAATCATGTAATTTCACAGTGAAGTATTTTACTCCTTCTACTTGCACAGTTTCTAAACTACATGAAGTGGTGATGTAACAGCTCTTAGAAGCCCATTCCATACTGGTTTGTTTTTCACATTTCATCTCACTCTATATGTAGAAATCATCCCACCGAGACCAGGATGGGAGATCTAAAAACTTATGAATGTCCAGGTGTGTTATTCCTCTACCCAGAGGCTACCTTCACATTCACTGTGCATTTGCTGTCCTTCCTCCCTTTAACATCACAGCAATACATAAATCTGAAGTACTGGTAAAATTATAGGAAAGCCATTTGGCAAAACTGACCTGCCACAGGTGGGCTCACTAGATATGGTATGGCATGAAGAAAATACACAACACCCAGTGCTGATGATAACAAAGAAGTTCCCACTACATCTGCTGTCATGACAGGGATCAGCGTTACATAGGCTCCATCAAAGTAGCCAAAGGTAAATGAGAAAGGCACAAGCAAGGGGAAGCTTTGGAGAACTGGCAGGAAAAGACAACATAGGCCATCCATTCCCACAGCAAAGAGGTAGCAAAAGTACCGATGCTTCTTCAGACACCTGCAAATTTCAAAACAAAAGAAAAATATTATCACTGAAATCAGCATCTCTGTGCTCTGCCATGCAGTGCTTCAGTCTCTCTCTCTCTTTTCTATAGCTCAGATTTAAGTCCATTTCCTTAGACAAGTCTTCATTCAACACACAAGCCCAGGTACGGAAAGCTGCTTGCCTACAGCTGCAGAAACATCTGGCCAGCAGCAGCCATGCTGCCTGCAGTGCTCTTCAGGATGTTCGTAGTGACAGAACTCTGCTGCCAGGAATTTTCAGTCCCCTGGAGTTTCAATGTTCAAAGCACTACTTCATTGGGCTTTATATCCCAGCTCAGCAAGGTGCTCCCAGAATTATGCATAAAATATTGCAGTATACCTCTCTTAGCTGTCATCTTTCCAGACAGCCCTTAAATGTGAGTTCGAGTTAAGTGAGATGGCAATTTCCTTCCTTCCTGCTCCACAAAAACAGTAATTGTTTTTTTCCCACAACTTAAATAAGTGCAAAGAATGCATCCTTTAGAATCAAAATCCTAGTTAATTTGGCCATTATCTACTGGTGTTACAGATGCTGCACACTGATGTTTACAGTGAGCTGAGTTCACAAAGCATGGTGAGTTCTTATATATTGGAAAATGTAAAACAATTTTCAGACAGTCCTTCCTAGTCTGTGCCTAACAGTATTAGGCCAGACCTTGGACCCTCTTCCATAACTCCTGTGCCTCCCCAGCAGCACAAAAGAGATGGAAAGGCAGAGGAAGCAGAGTGAAATCCCCCAGGAAACAGATACAGAGAATCATGCTCAACCTACCTCAGGCAAGGGGTTTTAACTTTTATATGTATTATACCTTGCTTGCATCTAGCCTCCCACCAGCTAAAGCTTACACTTGATCAGCCAGAAGCCCTTACCTTCTGTCTGTGAGCCATCCAAAGGTGATATTACCAATGATGTCTATGACACCAAGTATGGACATGAGGAAGGCAGCCTGGTGATGACTCACTCCAACACTCAAAGCATAAGGCACTAGGTAGACAAAAAGAGGGCTGCAGCCATATGCCATAAATAAAATTGATACTGCGAGCACCATGAAGCCTGGCATCAGCAAAAAGTCATATTCCTTCCAGGAACAGTAGCATAAACATTCATGAGGCCATAATTTGATTAAAGGCGGACATATGGACGTTCGCTTGAAGTCTTGTTTCTCTGTTTCAGGGACATAATTCTGTTCAAGAAACTCAGGAGCAGTTCTACAATCCTCCTTAAGAGAAATAGGCCGCATCAAGGCACCACAGACACAGAGGTTTAAAACAAAACCTCCCAAGATGAGCAAAGCTCCTCGCCAGGAAAACTGCTCAATTAAGAGCTGGACCACAGGGGCCAGGATGAAGGTACCAATTCCACTTCCTGACATGGCTATTCCATACGCCAGTGCTTTCCTTTTGTTGAAGTATTTGCCCACCATCGCAATGGCTGGAGAATAACAAAGTGCAAACCCAAGTCCTAGAAGAGAAAGCAAAGTGCAGATGGCTTAATACTAAGCATGACATATGGAACATATTAAATCAAATCACATAATGTGTTTTCAAATTAATAGAAAGCTTTTTCTTATTCTGTATCACGCAGCCCAGTCTGAATATGATGAGAAACTAGGATGATGTCTTTCTTCCACTGGCAGAGTCACTGACTTGACAAACCTAACTGATGATCATTAATTCACAATAATAAGACTCAGACAGAAGTGATGGGGTTCACTTCATAACAAGAACAAGGATGATCACTAAACATGAGAGAAGTGGTGTGCCAGTGTCTCCTGCATGCAAAATGAGGTCTTCCCCAGGGTCTGCACCAATGCTGGCACTGGACATGCTGTCCTGATGAATCACCAGTTTGTGTTTTGGTCTGTTGCAACCCTGAACATTAATTTTCAGGTCTCTGAAACACAGTACAAAGAGCTTGTCTCTGTTACTAATATTCTAAAAAAAACCTCTCTTGGTCCACTAAAAAAACTCCTTGCAACAGCTGTTTGGAGTCCTGACCATTTTAAATCTCTGCCTACAAGTAAAGGGGGGAGGAAAGCCTCAAAAAGCCAGATCCAGTAGAGTAAACAAATAAGATTCATCTCTTGGATGGAGAAAAGGATTGTAGTCTCTGCTGCAGAATCAGAGAGCAAGTTTTAATCATCAAGTAATTGCCCTAACACTAAAATATGTATTTCTTAATCAGTAATAGAAATGAGTTCCTGACTAGGGCTTTGGAGCATGTCCTACATTGAGGGTAAAACAGTCCCCAGTGCTGTAACCAGCTTGCCACATCCTCCTCAAAGGCCGCACTGTGTGGGGCAGGCAGTAAACCTGCCAGGATGGAGTAAGTGGATTAGAGGAACTCTGGGCAGCAGGTGCCCAGTCTGGCACCCCTCAGAAGGCGAGGGGAGAAGCAGGGCACAGAGATGAGGTTGGACCCATACAGGCAGCAGAGCCAGAGGAGCAGCCCTAAGCTAGACATCATCACTCAAGAGTTATGAAAATCATACTCTGTCAGGCATACACGCCATTTAATTTCCAGTGAGTTGGCAGGCGGAAATAGGTCTCAAAAAAGCCAACAAATGCCCTGTGAAAAGTGGAAAATTTAGGGCTGAAAACATTTTCATATGTCTTAGAAGGAACTCTGCTGCTTACTGACACTCCCCAGTCTCACCTCTGCATCACTCTGGTTTCAAGTCCTGCTGCTTTTATGGATTTAAACATTCACTTGTTGTGGTCCCTCCTGCTCTCTGGGTTGGAGGCACCACATCTAGCCTTTACCAACAGTTCACCTCTTTGTTAACTGGTCCCCACAGACTAAAAGTTCACTTCTTGTAGTGAACTTGGCTCTTTACTACTCCATGTACAAATTGTAACTGCCTTTCCACCTCGGTATTCACAGCAGCTCCCACTAAGGAAGCCTCAGAAGTATTAGCAGGGTATGTAGCACAGTCCCTCTAGTTACAAGAAGCCTTTTTATTTGTTATGAACACATTTGTCAAAGATTAACATCGTAATACAGGAGCAACATGCGCTAAAATAAGGATTTTTTTTTTTTTTTTTTTAAATAAATAAGCTGTTGGCAGCATGTGAACTGCAGTAATTCCACCAACTTGTTACTAAACTCCAGGGGACCAAGTACAAGGTCTTATATCACCGTGGCTACCAGGTCAGTATTAATGAGGAAGGAATGTCAGTGTGACCACGGGCCCCTCTCAAGTTCCTCTGTGCACAACAAACACAGGCAGATAGGACAGAGCAAAGATTTGTTTCCACCACACCTGAGCAAAAATGGAAGAGCTGCTACAGCAAGACTACCAACCAGCAATTTTTTTTGCTTTTCAACTGGAATGTAAGGCAGACAAAAGTACGGCATACAGCTGAGGTGCCTGGTATTCAACAAGAGCTCTTCTACCTCTTACTTACATTTATGTTTTGATTTAAACTTTTTTATAATATGAAAATATACTAGGGCAGTCTCAAACTTCTGCTATAACAAACTCCTCCCAAGTCCCAGACAAGACAGGGAAACCTTTTCATGTATACCAGCTGTCATGTATGCCAGTCCTTCCTGACCTCCCATAATTTCAGAACTTTATCGATAATCCTCTATCTAATAGAAGGTAAGAGTTGCTTTTGCAGGGTGCTGCATTTGCATTATATGAGATCAGTCAGTGCTGAAGCTCTTGCTGGGGTAGCCTCTCTTTTACAATGATGGGAACAGGTCTGAGTATCTCTGTTTGACAAGGGCAGTGCAAATACGACATGGAGAAGAGATCACCCATCACTTTTAGCATTCCTGTCTTGTGTTCTGGCAGCAACAAAGGGGCTGAATGCATCCTACCTGTGAGGACTCCTAATGATAAGTAGAGATGTTCCAGACTGGCGGCGAATGAGCTCAAAATTAGTCCAGTAGAAGCAAGCAGCCCTCCTAGCATGATACCAACTTGGCAGGATACATGATTACTGATTAAACTCCCAAGCGGGGCTTCAAAGAAACAAATAAAGCTGGTAGTTAATGGCGGGTCCTCACACACAATTCACTGCAACAGTTATAAACAAAAAGGAAGCAGCAGGAAGCAGGAGAAAATGGTAATTGCAGCTACAGAGTGATCTTCCAACACACCCCTCTCACAATGGCATAAGCACCAAATATGAAGAAAAAAAATTCTAAAAGTAGTTTTCCTGAAAGTCAGGATAAACCTGAAACTTACAGCAGCTTTCTTAGCAGCCATTTCTGTAGATCAAAGTCATTATGGAACACAGCTAATCTGCAATGTCAAGGGCTCAATACAGGCCACAGCAACAGCCCACACTGTTCATTACTCTGCTTACAACACTCAGACTTTTCCTCACCTGGAATTTGCACTTCAACCCTCAGTAACTTTAGGTGTCCTTCCTCACAACTCCCTGGCCTTGTGGGCTCTGTGTTAGACACATACAGGAGAGGTCTCACTTCCTTTGGACAACCTCCAGGGCTGCTACCCTTCTCCAGCACTTCTCCAACACTGATTCCTCCCAGATCTCGCTGTTTCTACCATGGGATGTCATCAAGAGCACTCTCCCCCTCTGTTACCTGCAATTCCAGCGCAAGGTTACTTTTACTTCTCTCTTTTCCCCAAGATATAACCTGGCTGTCACAGTTGAGTTGTTGCATCTCATTCTAGCTGTGTCCCTCTGTCTAATTCTTACAGAAACCTCTTCTACAGGACTAAGGCATGGATTATCACCAAGCCATACAGCTTTAAAGCAAACCCATGAGAAATTCATACAACCACTGCGTTGATGCACGTGATTTTTAATAATATCACATTTTCTTTTAAGAGATAAGACTATTTGTGAATACACACTTCTGATAAAAGGAGGATGGCTGTGACTTGATCTGGAGACAAGATGTACATCCTGTGCTACATCTCAAATACGACTCTAATCAAAATACCCCAAAGATCCCACAGTATCACTCTTTCCCAGCTGACTGCACCAACTTGTGAGCATGCTAAAACCAGATGGACACAATGCAAAAGCAGCCACATTACTTGTAAAAGAGTAATACACACCACAAAGCATTGTAGCACAGTCGACAATGGAGTGGATCCAAGCAGTTCTGGCGTAATCCTGCCCAAAGTATGCCTGGAACTCCACAAAGAAAATGGAAATGCACCTAGGACAGAAAATATGAGCACCAATCTGTTAAAACATGGAATATTTGCCTCACAGAAAACACTGGTCTCACTCTTCAATTATAAAAAGTACCCACTTGAAGGTCCTCTCCAGCTCCTAGGAAAATCAAAATTGTAGTCATGAACATTGTAATATCACATGTTTCTTTTACATGTTTTCTGGGGTGTCTGCTGCTAGAGTTTTTATTACTCATAGTATTCTGAACTAAAAAAAAATTGAAATGCTAATTCTCACCAGCAACTTGTAGCCCATATGATGATGTTGCTTCCCTGGCACACAAAGCCCTGGCTTCACAGTTCTTCACTGATCTTGTTGCTCTCTATTCCACTCCCGCACAAACCATGAGGGTGAGTCAATACAATACCTACAGAGCAAACACCACCTGCAGCTATGTGCTCATTGATGGACAAGAGCAAAGTTAACTCCTCTCAAACAGAGAATCAAAACACAGCAGGAGCCTGTGGACCTTCCAGCAGTTTAATAAGATGCTTCCAGGAGAGGCTATTTTGCTCAGCTTAACAAGTGTTACTGTTCAACATGTCCCTGCAGAGGAACAGACTAAGGCTGCATAGTTTCATTCACTTTTCTGGATCAACAAGAGATGCCTTTTCCCCCATCTTTTTCCTGAATCAGTGAACAACCACTTCTACTTTTTTTCTTGCACATACTCCATTTTTCTATGTAGTCTAACATGTGCCAGCCATGAGATGATTTCATGGATGTAACACACTTCACACATGTAAAAGCAATTAAATCCACTAGGAATTCTCTACTGTTATTATGGAATTGGTACATTTGTACACATTAACTAACACTGTATAAGTGTTTCTATCCCCTTCTGTGCTGTTGACTTCAAGACCCTAGATCCCTAAAGACTTCAGATCCCTAAACCTGGCAGCTTTATTTTAAAAGAAATACGAACTTTAGGTAGGAAACACTATATCTACATTATACTGACTATCCAACAAAACATTCATTCAGTGTTCCTCACTTGCCAGGGTGCTTATCTCCTTGCTTAATATAGCTAAATTGTCCATGTTCACACACACCAGGCTCCTCTGTCTCCAGCTGATATCAAAGTCACTCTGAAAGCAACCTCATCCCAGACTGCATTATGTTTATGCAAGGCAGCAGTCTATTCCTGTTCTTTCTATTTTCGAGAGAATATTTTCTGCATATTTTGGATATCAGAAGGGTGTAGAGAGGGGTTTCTTCTCCAGGGCTCGGCCCTTCTTAGGCAGGACAGTACCTGAAATGCTCACAGTAGGAGAAGGGGGTATTTACATATTTTTCACATTGACTCAGGAGTCACACAAATTCACTGGGACTGGCAAAAATGAGCACAGCTGTGGGGTCAGAGGGACACAGTGAACCCGAAGAGACCCTACATGATGGCTCCCTCCCCAGCCAAAGCACCGCAGCCTGAAATAGCACTACCTGCCCCAGGCCTTGATTCTGTAAGAGATCAGGGAGCGGGTGCTGAAAGCTAGAGCAGCTGTCAGAGGAGGCGAGACTAAAGCCAGAGTGCTCATAATCCCCTGGTTGTCCCTGCAGCCTTAGGGGTTTCAGGAAGCCTTGGAAAATGCAGCAGGAGAGAGTTTGTACCTAACCAGAATAAACCTATCGACTGTAGAACATCAGGGGAGATCCCAAACCCTCTTCCTAAGGCGAGGAAAAAAACAAAAACAAAAAAGCTAACGCCACAAAGAGGCCAGCAAGACAAGCAGAGTGCCTTTACCTTGTCACGGCCCTGGTGCAGATAGTGACAAGGAAGCAGCCAGCAACGATCATCCATCCCCAGCCTCCGTCGGGAGGGCCGCGGAGCCGGGCCCGGCGGGACGAGGCCATGGCGATCCCGGCGCTGCTCGCCTCAGTGCCAGCGGCTGGCTCCGGCCCTCACGCCCGGCGCGGGC